TTTTCTTTAGCATATCTTTTAGTTGATTGACAAATACCCCCGCGTATTGATTTCTCAAAGAACAATAACATGTTATAATCCTTTAACCTCTCTAATTTAACCTTTGTATACTTAAGCATGCAATCAAAAGCAAATCCAGGTGCAGTCATATAATGAACAGGATCTAGTCTGAGAGTAGATAAACATATGTCTCTAAAATTTTCGAACACGTCAGCTAGTATGGTAACATCAGTTTTTAAATAAAGGTCGCTATATTCCCCTAAAGTCTTTATTTCAAATGTATTCCATATATTTTTTGCATGTTTATAATCTTCATCACTTATGTTCTCATCTGTTAAAGAGTTATAGAATTCAAGCTTTGATGGTAAAAAAGCATTATCTAATTTACTCCAGCTATCAACATATTCATAAGGGAAGACTCCTTTCCGTGTAACTAGATCTAATGACTTCATAGAAAATATTTTAAGTGTTTCTCTAAACCTTGACTTATCTTCAGATAAATTGTCTGCAAGTTTACTTAGCGACTCACTCATAAAACGGAATGTATCTACAAATTTTATACTAAATCTATATGCGATTTCCTTGCTAAATGATATATATTTTTCTGAGGAATTTGGGATAATATGAATATCTTTGTCATCACAACCAAGTTCTCGAATAATAAAGTGGCTATCATACGACAAGTTATGGAAAAAAATCGGAACAAATGATGGATTAGTTATTTCAAAATTACACTGAAGACATAAACATTGTCTATATTTACCGGTAAAATGACAATGGTCTCGAACTTTGATTAAATTATTGTTTTTAAAATGTTTTAAACATTTTTCACAAAATTTAGTTCTTTTGAAATGTGCTTCTTCTTTTTCAGTTAATTTTATCATTGGTGTATTAATTTGATAAATTTTATTGATACTAGTTCCGATTTCAATCATTTTTTCCATAAACTTTTTTGCAGCCTTTTCACCTCTATAAATTATTACCTTCCTCGGAATGTTTAACTGTTTCACCAGCTCTTTCGAAATAATGCTGTAGTCAACTTTTACATAAAACCCATAACTCATAATTTTATGTAAATGTGTAACATAAGTTTTCTGTTTTTACATTGTTCAATGAATTTATTGGGTTGTTTAGAAGTTAATAAACATTCAAAATCTGCATAAATTACAAATGGAATCCTTTGGGTTTTTTTATAACCTTTGAAATAGATGAAATCATCATCTTTATCTTCAAACATTATAGGTCTCCCCAATGGATTCTTCCCGCAATTACGTCGATGTTCATCTAATCCTTTTACACCCCAAAGCTTACTTTCACACGGTCGAGTACCAAAAGTTGTAAAACATCTTTTACAAATAATTAATTTCGAACAATTTTTCGTTTTCTGACTTCTGATCAATCTTGAAAAATTTTTAATATAACAATAATGTGATGTTTCATTATTGTTAAACAAAAATAGATCAAAATGATCATTTCTTTCAGTATTACAAATGTACAAAGGAAAAATTGTTTCTTTATCATTTAAACTATAAATGTTTATTGAAATATTGTTAATACGTTCAAATTTAGGTATCTGACTAATTGGTGTTGGAAAATCTATACATTTAAAATTTAAACCACTTTTTACTTCTAACATCTTAAAATATTTTTTCTTAAAATTAGTTTTGTTGGAACGATTATCAAACTTAGATAATAATGCATATTTAAAACATTTATTATCACTATTTTGCACATTGATAATCGCTCTTTTATCTTTAACATGTTTAGGTAAATCAATATATGTTCCTCCTTTGAGAGGATTCACTATATTGATTCTTAACTGTAATGTTTCTATTACCTTAAGCGACCATCCAGATCCTTTCTGCATGAAATCTGTCTCTTCTCGTAACAATTTATCAAATATGTTGTTTAATGTTTTTTTAAAATTAGATGAATTACACACTAGAACATTAGAAGTTTTGAATGCAATATCATGTACTTCTTGTGTGATAAGTCTTTCGTAAACACTATCTACAACTAAATTAAATTTTATAGACGTATTTTTACATGATTCTTTTAATTTACAGATTAATTTCTCTGAAATATGATTAAAAAAAAGCATGTAATCTATAAAATCTAATGTATTCCTAATGACAAAAGTTTTCGAACATTTTTTGAATCGTTCAATTTCGAATAACTCATTATCTGTATAAATTGTTCGCTGACATTTTCTCACCGTTTGTCTTTTCATGATGAAACTGAAAATAGAATAAATAAAAAATAAGGTAGGTAGATCATTTTATTTCAAATAAATTAATACATTCAGAATATATTTCTTGAACATAAAAATAAAAAAGCGGTTTTAAGATAAAAATGAATTATTGAAAATAGAGAAATTATTAATGACTATTTACCATTGCTTATATAATTATATTGCGCATATAATATAGATAATCTTTTTTGAATAATTTTTTCACGTTTCTTATCAATATATAGCAAATGTAAATGGTCCTTTACAATCTTTTTTTTTTCATTCATTAATTTGTTTTGTTTTTTTTTATTTATCACTTTTTTATTTTTATATCAATATTTTTTAATTGTTTTTTAAATTCTATTGCTTCCTCGTTCATTTCTCGGTCATTTTTCTCAGCATTTCGAATAACATCGTTAATTTGATCCATGATAAATGATTTTGATTCCATTTTTTATTTTTTTTAAATTGTATGGTATTTGTACATTAACTGATAGTAATAAAAAAAAATAAAAGAGTGTATATTAATAGCAGTAAATAATACTAATAATAATAATAGACTAGTTTGTTTCTTTTAATATAAAATTATTTATATAATAATTATTTATATTAGTTACATTGGGAGGAGGAGAAGCACTTGTTCTAATTAAAAACAATTGATATTTTATATTTTTTTTTGTTCTGTTTAAGTTTCTGCCTTCTCATAATGTAGTTATTTTTATCCGTTTTCGTATAACTTTTAATCATTTGTTTATAATAGTCTATTTCGTTCAAAAATATTATTGTAGGAATTCATTATCTGAAAATGTATTTACTTAAATGTTGAAAAAAAAAAAAAAAATTATTATAAAAAAATGATTTATATCAAATGATCAGTAAAATATAAATATCGGTTGTTTTATCATGTAGAAAACTATGTATTATTGAATAAAAATGTAAAATGTATTGTAAATAATATGTAATGATTACAGGATGTTACTACATTTATTTTCTAACAGAAAATCGTATGTTATTCAACGAATTCACAGCCACCGAACATGATCGGATTTGGAACAGTACGAACGTTTTGTCAGATCATTAAAGTGGCACGTGAAACGAGCAGCTAAAACGTTGCTCTAGAGTTTAGTCTAGATCAATGTTTCAACGATACACCCGTGACACGGGAATTTCCGTTAAGGAGATTCACTGAAACTATGACATCTGCACACTAGACCTGACGTACGACCGTACCGTCACTACTGTGTAACATAACCCGCTCCCAAAACACAGACACAAAGACGCAATATAAGCGTCACTGTGTCAGCGGTCATGGGTACGGATTTTACGAATATACGTTCTGTTGTGTGAAAATACAAGTGTTCATACTATATAATCAATTATCCTTTATAATCAATTACCTAAACGCTTATGTTATGTTATGTTTTTACTATCGTGTATTATTTTTTCGTTTTTAAAAACTAGTAAAGATGTGATTTTAGATTCAATAAGATGATTCTTTTTTTAAAAATATATAAATAATGAAATAGGTAGGTACTTGCATAGATAGCTGTACGGTTAAAGTATTTTCCAATATTCAGTAGCGAATGTCTGTTGATAATGCTGGTAATGGACTGGTCAACTATGTAGGATTGAAGTATTTTTTTGATTCTCGATGGTGAATGCCTGTTGGTGATGTCTACAGTGAATACCTGTTGTCTGTTGTCTGGCAGAAAACACAAGCTGAACTGATATCGTTTGACTAACAAACGCTGTTTAGACGGAGTATTATTTGGGAGTAATAGTAATTATAATATATAATGTATGTATTGGTGATAACTGTTATCCGGAATAATAATTTAAAATAATAATAATAATTATTAATAATTATAATAATAATTTTAAAAACAACTAAGTTATTTTGTAGTTATAGTAATTATAATATATAATAAATGTATTGGTGATAACTGCTACCTAGAATAATCATTTAAAAAAAGTACTAAAAATGTAGAAAATTACTAAAAATGCATTAAAGATGTACATAGGTCAAAATAAACTGCAAAATAATAATTTTATTTTATATAAATCTACATCACTTGAAATACATTTTTGCCAAACTGACCATTACGTAAGGTTTTCGCAAAAAAAATTAATTTTGCATCAGGGACTGGAACCGAACCGAAAAGAACCGGTTCTGGAACCCAAAAACCCTTAAAATATTGAGAACCGGAACCTAACCGGAACCGAATTTCAATATTTTCAAATAACAGGAACCGGAACCGGAACCCTTATTTTTAAATTAAAAAAACGGGTTTTTAATGTTAAATTATTTTATTTTTTCCACCGTAACTTATGCTCAATTTTCGGCATAATGCTTTTACCACAGATTAAAATACGTTTGTTTTGATAAACTATTTTTATTTCTGTTTAGAGTTGTTTATTTCTTGTGAAATAATGATAACTGATAAGTAATGTTATGACCACGGTTTAAGATAGTCTATCTTAAACCGTGGTTATGACTAATGTTATTAACTTTATTGTTATCATATTGAATTTTTCAACTTTCAAATCTATGGTGATCACGGTCATAGAAGATAGAATATGGTGATGGTATCTTTTCTTCCAAGAGATTGAGTATATATTTAGAAATCCAACCAAAATAATATAGATTACAATACTGATTACTGTCAATTACCCGAATTTACGGTTGACAGTTTGACTATTATTGGTGTGTACTGCTCATTTGACTATTGAGTCATTATTTAAGTCGTTGATTAAACTAAAAGTTGTTACTATGCCTCGAGTATATAAATCTGTTGTTGGCGAATATTTTGACTATAGCAAAGTGGAAAAAATTTCTACGTGCAAAAAATGTTTGAACAAAATTAAAGTAAGTAAAATCAAGTTTATTTTATTAGCATATTAATGAAATCAATCATTTAATTTTTTTAAGATTAATCTACATGTATTTTTTGTATATAATAAATTTAAGTTTATAATAATTTTTACCTAGTTGGTAGTTAGTTTAGTAGTAAAACACTGGTCACTGACTGTAGGTACCTAAGTATTTTAAAAGTATCCTTTTTGTTTTAAAATCGTAACATGATAGTCATTCATATAGATATTTTAAACATTTATAAAATTGACCAATTTATAAATTCAATATTATTTAGTGTTTATTAATTATCGAGGTTATTTGAAGTTCAAAGTCAATAAACTTAGGTATTATAAATTTTTATAATTTTTAAATAATTTCAACAAGGTGAGCATTAATTAAATATAATAAAAGGGTTCAACCTGTATACCTGTTGTTTATATAAAACATTTTTCTTGAATTTAAGGGTAATCATGGCACAAATTTGAAGAAACACTTGAGTACTCATAGTGAGTTGTACGATGAGTTTCAATCAAAAGAAAAAAAAACAGCTTTAAAAATTCAAGTTGAAAAAAATAAAAACTGTACATCGGAGACACAGACAATATTACAATTTCTACAGCCCAGTATAAAAGTTAACATTGATAGTAAGACAATTATAAACGGGTGCGTAGAACTTGTTACAGTTAACGGAAGGCCTTATAGTATAATGGATGATTCAGGATTTAAAAAAATTTTAAATCCTGTTTTAAATGGCTTGAGAAAAAAAATCACTATGAACTCAAATACAATTAAGTAAGCATAAATACCTAATTCAAAAATATTTTATTTAGGTACTAAATAACAATTAGCATAGGTAGGTATTATTATATTTTTTATTTTAATAATTTTATTTTGTTATAGGAAATATGTAAATGAAGAAGCTACTCTTCTAAAAGATGAAATAACTAAAGAAATCCAAAACAAACTCATTTCATTAAAAATTGATGCTGTTACAAGATTGAATAGATCCTTTTTAGGAATAAATTTGCAGTATGTCATTGATGACACCATTAAACTTAGGACTATAGGACTTCTGGAACTAACTGAGTCACATACAGGTAACTACTATTAATATACTACTTAATTATTTGTTCTTCTATTTTATATTTTCATACTTCATAATATATAATGTTAGTGAATTTTATCATTTAGGTGTGTATTTAAAAGATGTAATACTTAATGTGATGAATAAATTTAAGATTGAGCCATGCCAACTGTACACAATCACATCAGATAATGGGGCAAATATGTTAAAAGCCACTAGTCTAATAGAAGAACACATTTTATCTGAAGTAACTACATCTGATAATGAATCAGAAACTGAACACATGGACGTATCAGAATCAGAAGCAGGATCAATTGATGAGCATGAAGATAATGATAGGTATAACTTACTAAAGATGTTTTTTAAATTCAATAATAACAGTAAAATGAAATAATAACATTTTATGCTTATATAAACAATACAAATACATATACAATTAGGTAATGTTTATTTTATTTTCATTATAATTTTAAATGCTGCCCTTATTTGGTAAACACACATGACTAAAATTAAAAAATAATTTTTATTTAGTAGTATGAAACTATTTTTTTAATTTTTTGTTGTACCTATTATTTTATTATTTCACATTTTTTTTTATTAAATAATTATTTTCTGTTATTATTTAAAATGTTTAGATGTAAAAAGTACAATTTAATCATTAATTATTAATATGAATAAGAATTTGTTAACAGTGAGTTTGAATTGGACCAAACTGTACTTGACGATGATCAAATAACTGAATTATTAAATGAACATAGTGATAATATTGATAAGGATTATGAACAATCAGAACTCATAATTAATCATGTTGAATTGCAAAGCTTCAGTGATTACTCCATATTTTCTGGTAAGCTTAAGAAGTTTTACTAACATTTAAAAATTATTGCATTAATATGAAACATTTGAAAACCACATAACACAAATGTTTTATGTAAAAATGCATATTATATTTTAACAAAATGTTCATAATTTATATTTATAATAAAATCTGAAATAACTAAAATATAATGTTATTTAAATTAATTAGGTTTTGAATTTTATTTTAAAGGAATCCGCTGTGTAGCCCATACCTTGCAATTGGCAGTAATAGACTGTTTAAAAGATGATGATGTAACTAGAGTTTTAAATAAAGTTAGATGTTTGGCAAAACGACTGAGAAACCAAACTTACTCTTATTTAATAAAAAAAGAAAAGTTAAAATTACCAATACTCGACTGCTTAACACGTTGGCATTCTACATTAGACATGTTGGAAAGGATAATGTCTTTAAAAGAATTTATCAAAAATATGTCAGCAAACGACACTAAGCTTAAAAAAGTAAATCTTAATCATTCAGATTGGGAAAAAGTTGAAACTATTTCAAAAACATTATTGCCTGCAAAATTATGTACAAAGAAATTGCAATATGAACAACTTACATTGACAGATTTTTATGGCGCTTGGATAACATGTAAACTTCAAACAGAAGCATTAAGTTCATTAATATCTAAGAAATTGCTTCAACACATAGTGGACAGGGAAAAATATATAATGGCAAATAAAGTGTTATTAGCAGCAATTTTTTTGGACCCTCGCTATAAAATAACTTTAAATGAAGACAAATGTAATACTGCAATAGAACATCTAATCAAGGTTTGGATTCATTTAAAAAATGTTGAATTAAAAAATAGCATACAAGAAACAACTCCAAATATTGAAGACAGACAAGAAAGTTCTAACTCGTCCACAGATTCTACTGATGAATTAGAAAATTTTCTTAAAAATAAAGATAAAAAAAATGATTCAGTTTCTATTGATTTTGATGTATCAAACTCACAAACATCTACAATCGCAACACGAATTGAAACACTTCTGAAATCGTATCACATAGATCAAAAAAGATTAAACAATAAGGTTAATATTCTGCAATTTTGGAAAACCATGGAAGCTTCAAATCCAGAACTATCCCAACTTGCAAAAGTAGTTTTTAGCGCTCCAGCTACTCAAGTAAGCGTTGAACGACTTTTTTCTGGATTAAAATTTATATTATCACCATACCGAAGTAATATTTCCAGCAAAAACTTGGAGAATCAGTTATTAGTTCGTACTAACAGGTTATTTGATAGTAAAAAATAAAGGATAAATAAAATATATACATTTTTGTAATTGTTTAATACTTGTTTTAACTAGAACCCTAAATTAAACTATAAACTTAATTTTCCATACTGGAACCGGAACCCTGAAATAAAAAATTGTCATAAACCGGAACCGGAACCAGAACCTCTTAATAAAATAATTAAGTACCGGAACCGGAACCGAAACCCTAAAAACTAAAAGGTACCAGTCCCTGTTTTGCATTGAATCCGTGCCCTAACCATCGGTTATTCTTTTTTGAGTAAAAATAAAATAAAATAAAAAAAAATAAAATGTGTTTATATAAAGTATATATTTTCTATATTTTTTGGTTACAGTATGAATTACTTAGGAGAATCTTTTTTTAAATTTTCAACAATTAGTTATAAAAACTGAACATCTTATAGTTTTTTAATTACAATGATTGATAATTTCGAGATTTTGATGAATGTTGTCAAAATGTGTTACTTAAAATGCTGATAAAAAAATGTTGAATACGGATTTTTAATATTTTTCATCTACCTTTGAAATAATATATTAGGAACCTTCTATTAAATTTTCAAGAATTTTCACCCAACCAATAAAATATTATTGATATTTATAGAGAAAATAACTAAAAAAAATTGGAAACTGAAAATGTCCGTAAACAGTTCAAAATATTTTAAAAACGCCAAAACGGTATGGTGTTTAGAAACTGCTTATATAAACATTTAGTCAAAATTTCATGTATCTTTTAGAGATACACTAAAAACCAAAATCGATATTGCATAAGAATTCCCGTTTTTTCCTTAATTTTATTATATTATATTCCTTAGTTTTTTTATGAAAACTACTGGGAATTTTTTTACTTTTGACCCCCAAAGTACTAACCAGATTCAATTTCCTATCAGAAAAGCTATTATTGAAGAAAATCCAAGCATTTTTACTGTCCCAAAAGGTGATGACAGGCACAAAAAAAAAAAAAATAAAAAAAACACACATCATTGTAAAACCATCGCTCCGCTCAGAATCTAAAATAAGTTAAATATTAACTATTGGAAGTACGAAACTGTACCTAGGGTACCTATAGTTACAGTTTAATAACCCATCAATAATATTATATTTGTTATTGTGTACAATAATTATTAAGCAAATACATATTAGCTGGATAATCGATTTTCACTGGTAATTACTTCTATGTCTAAAAAGTCTGTGAAACAGGGCCCCTATTTATATGAGACATGCCCGGGATTTAGGAAAGGATGATTGACGTCATAGGAATGGCGTGATGCGTAGTCGATCAGTATTAACCAATGAGGCGGCAGCCTCAGTGGCATATTTTGGTGGAGTGATGTTGTTCAGGCCACCTAACCTTTGGAACGCCGTTTTTGTGCAAAAACGTCGGTTTACTACATTCCTCCCTTGTAAGAATGATACTCCGTATCATAAAGATGAAATGGCTGGATACACGGAATATGCCGTGCTCCGTGGTATTAGGGCTTCCTGCTTGATTACGTCTCTCGGTGTATGTCCGGAACTTCCTTTGGATCTTGTAGTAGAAGCACCTCACATATGGGGCGTACCTTCTAGGATGTAAAGGATATATTTCAGGACACATGAGGAAATCACTGACATGTTTACATTGACTTCTATCGATTTCGTCATAGGTGGAATACATT